GAGGGAGGGAAGCAGCAAAAGCTCATACATAGTCTCGAGGGAGCGAACGAGAGAGATGGAGAGCGAGCACGAGCCACTCCAGCTGCCGCTGAAGGAGCCGCAGCCAGCCCGCGACAGCCCGGCTCGAGCCGACCCTGTGGAGCGTCACCAGCCAAGCAGACGGGTATATGGAAACGTTGATGATCCCTTGATGTTCTCGAGCTGTATCCTGTTGCCTATCATGGTTCTCCCGAACAGAGAGCCGTTTAGGGCGCTTATCGAGGTGATGCAGCCCCTGTTGGCCGCGCAGGGCCCCGTGCTGCTCCAGCTGTTCCAGCTCTGGGGGCTGTTGGTAGCCCTCTTGGAATCCCAGGGAAAGAGCGGCGACGAACCGGCACGGGCTGACGGCTTGTGGGCGGAGGAGGGCCGGTGTTGCTTTTATTCTGGAGAAACCATACGGCATAAGTCAGCAGCGATTGCGTGGCAGTCTTGTGCTTGCTCGGGCTCAGGAGTGCGTCCAGTGGCTCCAGCTCACTGCGCAAGGTCTTCGCGATGCGACGAGCCTCGAGTGCTGGTTCGGAAGGACCCTTCTTGAAGCTCGAGGTTCGGAATTCAGAGCCGTGTGTCTCGACGCAGACAGGACTGCGAACGATGTCACGGCTTTGGTCGGGCCCTGTGTGCCCCTGGCGCTGCTGGTGCTCTGCATTCTTCCGGAGTTGGCCTCGCATGGAAGCGGCAGCGACCTCAGACCGAGTTGCCCAGTTCCGCGAGATGCGCGTGAGCGCCGCTTCAGTGGTTTCAGGTGTCAGCTTCGTGCTGAAGCTGCTGACCTTGCTCTACATCGGGGGCGCCTCGAGCAGCGCAGCGCTCATGCGATGCCAGCACACCGACGGAGGCGCTTGGACTCTCGCTGCATGCTCTGTGCTCGTCGTGCTCGTGTCGCTCATATATTCGATTCTTTTGCCAGCAACGCAGGAAAAGAGCGCCTGCCCGATGCGTACGCATTCCGGACGGCGCTACCGGACATCAAGTGCCGGGATACCGCTCCCCTTGTCGCTCGGTGGCAAGTAGCAATACCACCGCATTCAGTCAAACGAAGTTGCCAAACATGCAGAGTATGCTGGGTGCCTTCCGTTGTCACCATGATAGCGTCCAGGATCTGAATCTGTTTGCAATCCGTTCTGAGAACAAAGCATCCATGGCCCAACCATGATGACGTCCAGGGTCAGTCCGCGTTCTAATGCCTGGGTTTAAGGATGTTGCAGTTCGTGGCAATGCTTTTGCGATTTAGGACCATGGCAGGCTTCGGGATAGACCAGGGCTTCAGGGTTTGGGCTAGGACTCGAGAGGGTGGGGCGTTGAGTAGTCAAGTTTAACAAGTTTGATATAACTCTTTTCTTTAACCTCATCGAAAGTCAGGGCAGCCCATACAAAAAAAGCGACTGCACATACTCGCGTTTCGTGGCCGCCAAAAGAGACCCGAAAAGCTGACTGTCCTGAAAGCTCAAACCCTCAAATTTCGTGGCCCTGCCATACTTTTCCTGTTAAGCAGTCAAGAATTTTAAGCACTCGGCGAAAAAAAAGCAAAACATACGGTGCTATAGAGCAAATTGCAGCACCCTTCGGTGCTTTCGGCATCTTTCGGCCTGCGTCAACAACACCTTCACAGATGAAATCTGCGTTTCCTTGCGCACATTCAAGGCTTCATGCCTGCACTGTGAAGTGTGTCTCCCTGCACACCCTCCGGCGCAGGGGGCCTGCAGAGACCGGAGCTTTCTTGCACTGAGGCAGATAGCATCGCCGCGACCTGCGCCGTGTGCTACGGGCTGCTGATCCCGAGCTTCCTGGCGTACCTGATGTTCAAGTAGCACCTGGCTTTGGCGCCCAGCCGGCGCTTCGTCAGCCACGTCGCCCAGAAAGAGGCCGGCGACACGGTCTCGGTTTGGCCGGTGGTGGAGTCCGAGAAGACCGAGCCGGAGCGGGACAAGGCAGGAGTTCCTTCGCACGGCGTGGTTTAAAGCGTCGCTGCAGCTTCCGTGCTGCTTCGGAGGAGCTGAAGAGGAAGAGCCTCCTGGCCGCGGCGGTAGCCCGCAGCTGCGTCTACTTTGCCGGCGGCGTCCGGGTTCAGTTGCAGGACGAGCGCTTGAGTCTTGGCTGCCACCGGTCTGCCTCAAGAGGAAGAGCGAAGCAACAACGCGCTAAACTGTCGGAAAGTTTCTTGC